GACACGGGATCCGACGGCACGGATACTAAGAACAACGAACAAATTAATTAAGGATATGACATTTCCATCCGAGGAGTTGGCAAAGCTCAAAAAATTTTTTGGTATCTAGTAAAATACAAAAAATATATTTATCTTGAATTAAATGTTTTTATCATAAAGAGTTGCGTACTTTAACATCGTCTTGGTGTAATGAGCGGATGTTATCTTTGACATTGTATTTTTTGACGTGTCGTTCGGAGGATTTATCGAATTTTTTATTTTTTTTTTTTCAAGAGCGACCACTCTCTAGTGGCTCACGCACCTTCTAATCGAAATTCCGCAGGTAGAGGATGAGGAGGAGGTGAAGCAAGCAGCAAAAAGCCTGGAAGCAGCCATCCAACAAGCGCATGGCAGAAGCTCGGTGACTACGGAATTGCCGGTGGTTCGGGAAGAACTCCCGGTCGCCATCCGCAGAAAAATCATCAACCATAGAAGGCTACGCAGGACATTCCGCAGACCTCCCACAGAAGAAAACAGAGTCGTCCTTAACCAACAAGGGCAACTGCTGAAAGAAGGCTTACTGAAGCACAGGAACAGAAATGGGAAAACCGCTTGAGAGAGTTGAATGCTGAGGACCAAAGCATATGGAGTATTCAAAAGGCCCTAAGAGAAAGTACCAAAATTCCAGCTCTCCACGGAACTCAAGGTTTGGTATTTACAGATGGCGGCAAAGCTGAGGCGTTTACGGAAGCAATCGAGTCCGGCCAGGGTAAACCACCACCCGAACGATGACCTACACTACGAAGCAACTATCAGAAGGACAGTAAATAAGCTTCGATGCTATGGTATACGGATGCCAGAGCTGACAAATTCTTAGAGAGGACTACAAGTTTTAAAGGATAACTCCAGAAAACTCGTAGTACAAAAAAGGAGGTTTTTTAGTTGGTAAGAATCCAACACTACCCTGGGTTCGGAACACTGGGAGTCTTCGCGAAGATTTTTATTCCTCAAAAAAAAACAAAAAAAAATTAGTGGCTGCGAGATTAAGCCGGAAATGGTTCTGCGCTGCTTATACTCTCCAGCGATAGAAAAAATACTTTTTTTTGTGAGCTTTCTTTTACTTAGGAAGAAACGGACTCCAAAAATCCAAGTGATCAAAATATAATAAATCAATACTGAACTGAAAGGTCGGAACTAGTTTGAACTATTTTTACAGTTTTACAGTCGAAAATTTTATTGCCCGCAATTTTCTTGCGGCTATTTTCTGGCAGCTATAATTTTAGTACTCCGCTTTACAGTGTGCAATGTTAAACGTCACATTTAGACAAATCGATCAAGCGTACCAACTATTTACCATACGTAAAAAATCCAAAGTTTGTTTGTTTGTTTTGTTTTCGTTTGAGGTTACAATTATATTGCTGTGGCGAACTCTATCCGCCACTTCTCAACTAGCAGCTCCAAACGAAAACGCCTAAGCCTTACTGACGAGTCCAATAGGTAGGCCCGGGACAAAACGCATGGTTCAACGCGCGCCATATTGCCAAGGAAATTATTGTGATTAACATAAGTTGGAGTTTATTTCGATTAAGAACCAAAATAGCAAATATGACAGTGCTGGTGATTTATATTACTATGAGCGAACAGTTGGCAGCATGAAAAGAACCAGAAAAGTCACTAAAATTGCGGTTAGCTGCAAGAAATTTTAGGTTTGGAACTATAGCCGGCAAGTGCAATAAAAGTTGCCGGCAACTCGCGAAGCGATAAAATGCGCAAGCGTAGAACGAAATATTGCGTGCAAGAAAGTTGCGGGCAATAGAAATTGCCGACTGTAAAACGGCTTTTAAGTAAAAATTAACATAGTCCCCATTCCTCTTGCAAGATACATTTTTTGTACACATCCACCAACCTGTCCAATATACATAAATAATTCTCAGTTTTAATCTCAAGAGGGACTCGAAAAAAAATTACCATCCGCTTACCATTCGACCAAATTGAAGGGGAATCTACGCCACAATTTTATGTTTCACAACAATTTATTTTGCTGATGGGTTAATTTTCCATATTAAAAATGCGATATTTATTTTTCGTTATACAATCCCTGTATATTGGGATGAAAAATATAAACAATCGCTTTTCGTAACATCGTAACTATGTATACTTATGTAAGAGCTGAATTGGGTGAATGCTGAATGGGGAGCTACAGAGAAAGACATATACCATGAAGAAAATGTGGTGAGAATATTCTTAAACTAAGGTACTCCTTCTACCCCTTTCCAAGCACATATATACTAGCTATAAAATTTTGCGCACGGAAATGAGAAAAAAGCCCGTTCAAATAGGCATATTACCATCGTCATCGAGGATAACGCCACAATTACAGCTCTAAGATAGTGCACAACCAGATTACAATGCGAGTTAGACTGTGTAAAGCCCTGATTAGAAACTCAGTTGGGTGACTGGAACTAGAAGGAGTAAAGGAGGCAAAATTGCTGCGACACTTGCAAGACAGGGGCTGAGCAACAATTAACTGACCAAGAACCAGTTTGGTGATATCCCACGCTTAAATACTGGCAAAGGTCGGACCTCACATGAACTGACGTGCCGCATGGCGGATCTTACGATAAACACTTCATTTCCGGGACTCTGTTCGAGGAAATTTTTTCGACCGCCCGGAATATTTCTATTGCAGGTAGCCTTAAGTCTGTGTCCCACGCATCCGTTTATACGATAGTATGATGACACGCAAGTGTTTCTATTAGT